TTCTAAAACTGCGATGCATGTTGCAACTTATCTAGGCATTTTTTGAAACTGATACAATTGGAGGAGAAAGTGAAAATTGCTGAAATAGTACATTTTTTTAAGGCAAATTGTTCAAGAGAGACTAAAATCACACGATTTGGAGTGTTAAAATGACCTTATCAAAAAGGTTCAGGATTCTGAAGGTCCAAGAGCAATAAAAAATCCTAATTTCAACTGAGAAACTGTTCATGGATAATAAACGTGAATATCTGAATATTTGACTAATCCAGTTAATTCAATACCTGACAAGTAAATGTATTCATGTCACCCATGAAAATCAAATAATGTTAGTTTAAATAGTCTGGCTCAGTATGACACTGCCTACAATCTGAGTGGTATCCACATCAGGCTGAAATTCTAACCACAGCACTGACTAAAGGGGGTGGTTTTCCTTCTGAATGACAGTCTATGGTTGAGTCAACGTACGGTTTCTTCCAGCTGAACAACTCGGCTCAACCAGCAACTTCACGTGCTGCTCTCAGCAACACATTTATGGCTTTTAATGCTCGACAGCCATGGAAATCTTTCCCCACAAACGCTGCAGCTCTCCCTTGTGTGGACCCTCATGTAAGACTTAAAATTTCCAATGTCTCACTCTGGTCTTGTCACAGCGTGGTTGTGATTGTGCGTGTGCCCTCATGTGCCTCCTCAGGCCTCCTTAAAATCGGAACCTTTTGCCACAGACTGTGCAGCTGAATGGTTGCTCCCCTGTATAAATTATCACATGTTCCTCCAGATGTTGTTTCCGGGCTAATTTTCTAGCACAGTTCGGGCAGCTGAATGGTTTCTCTCCCGTATGAACTCTAATGTGTCTCTGCAGAGTTCCCTTCAGGCTAAACTTTTTGCCATACAGAGAGCACCGATACGTCTTTTTGCCTTTATCACAATGACATTTTTCAACAATTACAAAGACTTCATTATGTTTCACAAAAGTTGAACCCTGCTGAGGTTTCCTTTTTCCCTTGGCTTCCACTCATCGGTACTGTTGTCAGTCTCGGAATCTTGAGGGTCTGTTTCCATCTGTACAGCTGAGCTGCTGGCAGGAGGCTCTGCCTCTCCGTTCTCCACAGCTTGTGTCTGGTGAAGCTGTGAGGATGGAACTTTCTCTACGTTCACATTCGTTCTCGATAGTGACAGGTCCTTGAAGCTGCTCTCCCTCCTGGCTGCTCCAGAGCTCTTCCTGTTCCTCTTTAATGTGCAGAGGCTCTGGGTCCACCTGGTCCAGACTGGTTCTCCACTCTTGCTGCTCAGAGGGAACCTCTTGTTTAATCACAAACAGCTGTAGAGCATCTAAATGGAAGAAGTCACAATCAGAAATACTTTATTGATCCCCTGGGGGAAATTGGTTGCATTACAGTTACACAATTTGGTAAACAAGACATTATAAGAATAGAAATAATAAGTTATATGTTAAAAAATATGCATTATATTACTATATATATAACAACTATATATACATAGAAAATAAGTAAGCATAAAAATAAGAGTGTGTAAAAATATGTACATTATATTACATTATATAACAATATCTAGAAAATACAAGAAATAAGACATTCAAAATATGTATACTAAAGTATATAACAGAAGTTTAATGTAAAGGAAAAAATAAGACATCTTTAGTGTGCTGCTATATTAACATTATTATTTAATTATTTACAGAAATAAAATAATAAGACAAGATAATTTGGCAGGTAGACAACTGAAATTTTTAAAAGGATCTCAGACTAGCGCTGTAGTACTTGAATTCGGACTTGTCTTGGACTGGCTGGTATTTGCACTTGGACTTAAGCATTGATCTTGACAATTATTCTATTTGGTCTCAATTAAAGTTATTATAGTTAACTAAAAATAAAACTAAAAAAAACCTGAATACTAACTGAAACAATATTGTGTACTTACAAAATCAGGGGGAGGCATTGGTTCATATGTTCATTGAGACTGAGATGTCTAAATGACTGAGTTGATGTTTTATTGTAATACCCATCTTGAATTTCTTAAATCTTGCCCCTGACAATACCCCCCAATGTCATTATTATAAGTAAAACTAATAAAAAAATAAACTAGAGATGTCCAGATCAAGTCTTTTTAGCCCCCAATCCGATCAGACTTTTCTAATATCGATTACCCGCTGATAAAGAGTTACAATCTGATACTTGTATTTGTTTAGATAATACAGTGCACAGTGCACACTTCAAGTACATTACAGTTAGTCAAATTAATCCAATGTATATACATGACAATGGAATAGCTCTGTTCCACAATGTTTTGTTTTTATTTTATTCTTTTCCACAATAAAGTATAAAATAACAACCCCTCTGTAATCTGTTTGGTCTTGTCGCTATCTGGAGGGAGTTTCTCTCTCCAGTGTTTGGTGCTTTAGTGCAGCCTTTACCTGAGTTACTGAATGAACTGTATTCTGCTGACTGTTTGTGTGTCCCTACACCTTTTGCATGTATTACACATATTAGTTACTCTTATTGGCATTTGTTGCACTTGCAGTGACTGTGTCAGATATCTACCGCACTGTTCTCTGAGCACAGACAGCAACTGCTCCTGCTCTCTCAGACAGAGCAGAGAGGAGGAATGAAACAGCGAGGCAATACCTCTATGACATCTTATGCAAAACAAAATGTCATTATAATGCTGCTGCATTATGATATCCATTCCAGGCTATTTCCAGGAGTTTTTCTTTACAATTCAGGACAGCGCTCACTCACAGACAGACATATAATTTACCAGTAGGCCTCAAATTCACTTTAAATCCACTTTAATTTCTTTTTTTTTTTTTTTACAATGAAGTGTCTCAGGTTCATTATGATGGTGAAATGATTGCTGCAGGCCCGTTCCACTCCACTTCTGATGTGAACAGCCGGACTGAATGACATGGCCAAAATGGAAAGGGAGTGTTTGAAACGTTTTTTGTTCCGCTTTACGTCTGGATATTGCACTCTGAAGTGTCATACCGTGCAGCTACCAACTGTAGTACAAGTAACAAGTATCAAACAAAACATGAACCATAAAAGTTAAATTAATAAAAACTCCAACATAGTTAAATAAGACATTTATTAGGAAACATATATTATATTATTAAGAATGTAAATACCTGTTTTAAGAGTGGTTCATTCATTTCAAACGTGATTTTTCTTTGGTTTCAACTTGTTTTTTATAATAATAATAATGATAACTTTATTTATATGGCACTTTTTTAAAAACAATGTGTATAAAGTGCTTTACATACACACAAATAGCAGCAATGAAGAATAAGGTTAAAAACAAGATTAAAAGCAATATATGAGGTAAACAAAAACACACCAACTTATTTCAAAGCTGAAACAGATTTAGCTAGTTTAATTTCCTCAGGTAGGCTGTTCCAAAGTACAGATGCTCTAATAGAGAAAGCAGTCTCCTTTAGCCCTGATTCTGGACTGTGGAACAACCAAAAAGGGCCTTTCCTGAGGGTCTAAGTTTGTGTTCTGGCTCATAAAGAGTGAGAAAAAAAAAGAAAAGGTCAGAAATATAACTACGGTCTAGACCTTTCTATACTCGGAAAGTAATAAGTAGGATCTTAAAATAAATTATAAATCTTACTGGTAGCCAGTGCAGATGTAAACCTGGGGTGTTGTGGTCTCTACATTTAGTGCCTGTTAAAATTGTAGCAGCAGCGTTCTGTGGAGAGGTGAGAGTCCCAAAACATCTGTATTTGAAGCCCTGGGAATGAGACTCAACAATTAACTATCTTCAAGCCTCCAACCCACAGCGTCTTTCTATCATTCTTGGCTCTGATTGGTTGTTTTTCATTCAGGCGGTGGATTCTTGCAATACCATTAGGAGACTAGGAGAGGCAGAGGAACCTGATTGTTTCACAGATTATCTGTTCTACTGTCAGGATATAATTAAAGTTTCAGCAAATATGACAAAAAAATTATTACACTGCTACCTTACTAGCATGTTTAATCTGGGGCGGGGAAATTAGCATTGTAAGGCACAAATATGACTTGCGGCTCCAAACTGAATCTTTTTGGCCAACAATGGCTCTTTTATAGTAAATATAAAAATATACCAAATGTACATTTGCTTTAAAGGACCAGTGTGTAGTATGTATTGGCATCTAAGATAACATAAGAATAGGTGATTCTATCACCTTCCATAGGTGTAGGGGAAACTGCCTCTTGGAAGTGGGGTAGCCAGGGTAGGAAGGAAACAATAAAAATTGTTGTGTGCTACACACACCCTACATAATCACCCCTTAAATTGGTTGTGAAATGTGATGTAGCATTTAAAATTTTGTCAGAATACAATGGAAAACCACTGATGAAAGATTTTTTCTGTATTTCCATATTTATTGATAGGTTACAGCATGTAGTAAGTATATAATCGGATGAGTCATTGGATGTCTAGATATTAAGTTATCAGAGAAACAAGCTGATCTAACGTTAGCAGCAGCTCGGCTCGCAGCTGCTTTATTCTGTGTTTTCTCCAGTTTTAATCACCAGGTCTATTTGACATGGAGAGGAGGACACCTCTGTGGATAATTGGGCTCCTGGTAAAAACCTCCGGAACCTCTGGATCTTAAGTTATCAGAGAAACAAGTTGAGCTAGCGTTGCTTTGGAGAAACACTGATTTTTAAGGTGAAACTGCTTTATTCAGTGTTTAATTGTGTTTATTTGAATTAAAAAGCATCTCCTCGTACATATTCTCCACTATTGTAGTTGTTGTTTGCCGGGATGGTAGATTGTACTCTAGTTCAATAAACACCATCAACTTGTGAAACCCTCCTCCTTCCACAAAGTTTACCAAGAGCTTAACTCCAGTCACCATTGTTGTAATGGGCTTGCTAACGTTAGCAACATGCTCTTTTCTTCATGTGCTTAATCCGCACATCATCAAACTGGTTCTATACACAAGTTTAATGTTACATACATTGCACTGCATGTCTAATTTTTGGAAATACTTCCAAACATCACTGTTTGTGGTTGCACATGTGCAGATATAAATGCAAGTACTTGATGCATTGAACGAATACCAACGTCCTGAACGCAGCTTAACCTAAATATCAATTTGAAACATAAACCAGGCAGCTTTACTTGTTACCACTCACCCCAGCGCACTTATGGCTTTTAACATGTGACAGCAGACTAAAATTCCGTCCACAAACACTGCAACTGTATGGTTTCTCTCCTGTATGAACTCTAATGTGTCTCTTCAAAGTTCCCTTTTCAGTAAAACATTTTCCACAGAATGAGCAACTGAACGGTTTCTCCCCTGTGTGACTTCTCAAGTGTATAACTAATGTTTTCTTTTGACTGAAGCTTTTATCACACACTGAGCAGCTGAATGGTTTCTCACCTGTGTGAGTTCTCATGTGATTCTGCAGATTGACCTTTGCACTAAAGCTTTTGTTACAGACGGTGCAGGTAAAAGGCTTTTCCCCTGTGTGGCTTCTCATGTGGGCGTGCAGATTTCCTTTGCAGCCAAATCTTTTATCACAGACGGTGCAACTAAATGGTCTCTCACGGGCGTGGGACTTATTATGATTCACAGTGTTCTCATTTGTCAGTGTGTCAGAACCGGACCCTTTCTCTCTTGTCTCATTCCAATCATCATTACTATCCTCAGTCTCTGATTCACAACAGTATAAAGACATAACCTGATGACTGCTGTCAGTCTCTCTTTCCATCTGTACAGCTGAGCTGCTGGCTGGAGGCTGTGCCTCTCTGTTCTCCTCAGTTTGCCTTTGATGGAGCTGTGAGGACGGAACTTTCTCTTCATCATCTTCACTCTTCACAGAGACAGCAGTCAACGGGAACTTGGTGATATCATCCTCCTCCAGTCCTTGAAGCTGCTCTCCCTCCTGACTGGTCCTGACTTCCTCCTGTTCCTCTTTAATGTGTGGGGGCTCTGGGTCCTCCTGGTCCAGACTGGTCCTCCACTCTTGCTGCTCTTCTTTTCTGACAATCAGTTGTCGGACATCTGGAGGCAAAACTGAAATACAGACCGCCAGCTGTTAATATAAACCTTAGCGATACTTTACTAATTGGCAAACATGCTTTTCATTCTTATGTCCCAGGATGCTGTGCTGTGGCAATTGCTAATGGTTAAAGGCTCATAAAGCAAAGACAGTCCTTAAGTGAAGAGCACCTGCTGTCGACAAACTGGTGTAGTAACATAGCCTAGCATGCTAACATACTCCATGGATGATGACAACTGCTGAAAAGAAAGAAGAGCATAATGCTTTCTGTAGTAAGCAGTTGAAAGCCACTAATAAATTCTTGCACATATAACCATACTGTACCCTGAAATATTAGAGCAGGTATACTTTTATATATACTAAAAATTATATATACTAAAATATCCCCCCCGGTTCAGACTGCCTACCTGAGCAGCATGTGACGGCTATGGCTCTGAACAGCTGTGTCTGGCATGCTACTGCAGAGCTGCTGCTGCCAGCCCTATATTTCTATACTGAGTTTGCCTTAAATACCATACAATAAAAGCTTTTTTTAACATGTGAATGGATTCTGTGCACACAAATGCCAGAGAGCTTTTAATCCGAAACAGATACAGGAGGTGTTGAGTTTAAAAAATACATCTACAGCGGCAAGAAAAAGTATGTGAACTCCTTTGTTGGATTTCATTGCTTTTCGTGAAGTCAACATGTTGTCAGGTGTAAACGAGGGTTATCTGATCTGTCATCTAAGGCAAGCGGGGTCATTGACAAATAAAATGTGTCTAAAATAATAACAATTTTTTTTTGATCTTTCATGTCTTTATTGAGAACAACAAAAAAAACTCATAGTGCTTGTGGAAAAAGTATGTGAACCCTTGAGTTAATGACCTCAAAAAAGCTAATTGGAGTCAGGTTTTAGCACACCTGGAGTCTCGTTAAGATAATAAGTTTGGAGGTGTGGACTACAGCTACTTCGACTGATAAAAACCTTCCAAACTTTTGGAGTTTTGGAGATTTGAAGGTATCATTGGAATTTACAATCTCTAACTAACATCTCTGTTCATGAGTCCACAATATGTAAAACACTGAACAAGCAGGGTATCCACGGCAGGACACCAGGAAGAGCACATTAACACTCCACAGCAGTATTGGCAAAATGTTTTGTGGACTGATGAAACTAAGATTGAACTATTTGGAAAAAACACACAGCACTACATCTGGCGTAGTTGCCTAGTTGAGGTTATGGCTGCCGGGGGGTCAACCAGTTCTAAGGATTCTAAGGGTTCACTTAGTAGTCGTGATAAAGGCTTACCAATAAAAACTTTCTCACTAAACTTAAAACTTATAAATAAAAATAAAATAAAAATAAATTAAATGACTGTATATAGTATACAACTACACAAAATGAAATGTTATACACCAAAAACCCAACTGGGCCCTCTCAAAGTCACCTCTGCCATCTTTTCCAATTCCTTTTCTACAGAGCTATACGTCACAGATAATGGGTCGAGACAAACTCTGTTCTCTTGTTTAGCCCTGTGGAAGATGGGAGCAAATGTCTACAAATGAAGACCAAGCTATCCTGTGACATAAGTTGACAGAAGTTCGAGGGTAAACGTTTGAATTTTGCTTTACAAATCAAAACTCTCCTTGAGAGCCTGCCAAGAATAAGTTTAAGGTAATTGAATGCTGAAATACACTGACACTTAATTCTTAACACTCATTAGTGAACACAGCCACTTCTTGCAGTTCTGTAATTGCCTGTGCTCCTGCAGGAAGGACACCTGTAATCATTATGGCAGCCTTACCGGTGGCAAACCGCAACAAAAACAATTCATAAACAGATTAAATGAAAGAGGTGGCAGCGGAAAGGAATGAAGGGAAATTGAGGTTAGGGTGGAGGAGAGGACAGAAACGGACCGGAATGAAAATGCAAAAGCTCAGAAATGTACGAGTTAGGGAAGACAATCCAGGAGGAAAATGTTGATAAATGAACCAACACCTTTTATAAATCTGCTCTGCTTTAGAGACGTCTGCTCACTTCAGGCCCCTTCAGAGAGTCCTCCTCCTTCCTGTTCTAAATGCAGACAGCATCCACTCAGATGAGGCCTCTTCTTCTTCTGCTGTCTCCACAACAGACCGCAAACAAAGCCGTCTGGAAAAAGTCTTTGTCGCTGATGTTGTCTTTTCCGTGTAAATCATTAACTGGCTTTTTGAATCAAAGAGGCTTGCGGGACGGCTGCTGCGAGTTGCTACAACCAGCTTTCTGTGATTGTCGTCTGGCTGAGGAGACTGCACTTGACAACATTTTAGGAGAGAGGGGAGGCGCTTTGATGCTAGTTACTGTGTCTGATGTTCTGATCGGGGGGAAAAATACTCAGGGGACATGTCTATTCTTAGCTGAGTATTTATCAGCATTGACCCAAAGAAGCATTTTGTGATCATTACTTTGCCCCTCTGACATTTAAAATTAAAGTCAGTAACTTTCAGCATGTTGGTGCCCTCTAAGGCTCTCAATGTAATGGGCAGACCGGAGCATCAAACAAGTTGACTTGTTTATTGCAGTATCTGGAACCAGGGTGCAAAATTAACGTATATGTCCACTGGCCAAATAGCTAGTAAAAATGTTACCAGCCACTTAATAGATTGCATCATTTTTGGCCGGTGAGTGAAGCAAATCTACCCATCAGCCACTTGCATATTTTAGTAGCATTTGGCGGCTGGCGAGTGCAGTGGTGGTGGAAAACACCACTGGAAACAGCTCTGGTTAGAACCCAGTTTATTGCCACTGTCAGCCAGAAAGGTGGCTAAATAGGTCCAAGTTTACGGTTTATACAAAGGGGTGATGACGAAAACTAGTCATTACTTGATTGGCAAATTGGTGTTGCTGGTTCAGTTCATACCCTGATGTTCATAAAGACCACATTTTCCTCCCATTTTTCAGCTTCCCTGCTTTCCAAATAACAGGAAAGTACTAGTAGATACCCACAAAGAGGAAATTAGACTTTGCCATACAGCAAAAGAACGCCCTGGTTTCTTCCACAGTGATGTCATCTACATTATGCCAGATAAAAGCTGACGCTGATGAGAACAGATTGGATTAAACCTAAAGAAGCAGACATGAAGAGGAATGGACAGAGCAAAGAGGGAGGATAGTAAGATAGAAATAGAGAGGTAAAGAGATGAGGCAGAGAAGGAGGAAGAGTGAATTGAAAATATCTGTGACGAGTGCCATGTAATTACAGTGCTGTTCCATTATTAATCGGTCCCAGTCCAGATAAGACTTGCATGAGAGTTGTATACATAATTAATAATGGGGACTGGAACATCCTTTGCTTTCTATTCAATCGTGGATGGGAGGATGACTGAGAAAGGGTGAAGGTTGGGGGAAAATTATTAACACAAATCAACCACCAAATATAGTATCACAGTATTCACAAGCCTTAGAGTGCTGGCTTTGAATGCTCTTTGTTTTCATTAAGTGCTCATATTCCAGTCGTTGAATTAGAATTTAATATGAAAATTAAAGAGGAAGAATTCTATTGCTGTATATGGTCTCACACAATGTTGCCTAATAGTCCCCTGTAGCCTCATGAATAATCCAATCAAAGTCTGAACTGAACCCATCTAGTAAACCGTATCTATTTTTTCAGAGGTTTAATAATGCAAAGGGCCCCTTGTTGATTGTGTACACACACTATCTGATAGATCATAAGTGATACAGTGATATTATTACTGCTATATGGGATGTATTAAACCAGGTGCATGCTTCTGTGTGTCAATGTATTCATAAGGAGATATGCTGTGTCTTATAATTTAATCAGCAAAAAGGAATGCATTCATAGAGTGTTTTATTCATTTATTCATTTTTATTCAGCACGGACATCCAAACGCGCACACGCTCACGCTGCTATTCTGTATCTGGTTAAATCATATGATTGCATTAGCCTGGTGTCCCCTGACCTCGTCTTGTCTGAGCCACCCAGATAGAGGCGCAGAGAGGATTAGAGCGCAGTAAAAGGCCAGAGGGGAGCTACAGCTTACATCCACACCAACACAACACTGCTGCCTTTCACACTGGCTTTATAACCTACTGCATTATACAGCCTGTCACTCATCATGTTGTATTATTAGGTAAGAGGCCACAGTAGATGCAGAGAGAAATAATCTTACCACAGTATCTGCTGGCTGTTTAATTGAATATTTTATTGATCCCCATAAGGAAATTATCTTGTACTTCTGCAGCCACTACAGGGAGGTCAGTGACTAAATAGCATCCCTGGAGCTGGTAAAGCAGTAGTGTTCTGATGCATGATCATTAGCCATGAACCATTTTCACCAAGCTAAATAAAGCAATGTCTTAAAGCAATACATTGTAATGCTTCAAATATGAGCAACACAGTGTTTCTCTCACAAATAAAAAGACTTAAGCAATAAAACACATACTTTTTTAATTCAATTTAATACACATTTATATGGTCTTATATGACCAGTAGCTTATGCTGACTAATGTTAAAAAAAAGTTTAGCTATTTATTATTATTACTGTGTAACTGATATTAAAAAGCCGTTGACTTTTTGACTCTTCTCTACCCTTGCTACTTTTACCATAGGGTAAACCCTAACCCTAATTTTAGTAAAAGGTGTAAAATGTAGGTTTGCTTTAAAATGCCTGAAACAAAGTGTCAAAAAACATGTGAGGGTGCAGTATAACCTTAATAGTGGAATAGTATATGTAGTGGTAACAGTGTAAACTGTCATGTCCAGGAAACTTTAAGTTAGTTCATTCAGTTTTGT